AGTAGTAGTAGTAGTAGTCGTCGTCGTCGTCGTCGTCGTCGTCGTCGTCGTCGTCGTCGTCGTCGTCGTCGTCGTCGTCGTCGTCGTCGTCGTCGTCGTCGTCGTCGTCGTCGTCGTCGTCGTCGTCGTCGTCGTCGTCGTCGTCGTCGTCGTCGTCGTCGTCGTCGTCGTCGTCGTCGTCGTCGTCGTCGTCGTCGTCGTCGTCGTCGTCGTCGTCGTCGTCGAGGTCGTCGTCGTCGCACTCGTAATAGTTTTGGTAAAATTATGAACGGTAACCTTTTCAGTCGCAGGGCTCCAAGAGGGCCCCAAGCGGCAAAGATCGTCCCAGCTCCTTGGGTAAGACCAGAAGTTTAGCACCTTCGCCTTATCGGCCCTAACAGCGCCCAAGAGGCCCAACAGTCCCTAGATGGGGGGAGAGGCCCCCTTGAAGTCCCCAAGACGTCCCCCAAACGGCCCAACTGGCGCCCAAGGTGCCCACGGTCTGGACCAAACGGTTACCACTCGGAGCTGAGGCGGGAGGTCTGGACCAACGAGTTACCAGTGAGAGTTGAGAAGCGGGAGGCCGGGACCAAACGGCTACCGCTCGTTATCCTCCTGTTCCTCGTCATCCCTCTCCTCCTCCTCCTCCTCCTCCTCCTCCTCCTCCTCCTCCTCCTCTTCCTCCTCCTCCCGCTCCTGCTCATCATCAGCATCACCATCACCATCACCATTACCATCATCATCATCATCATCATCATCATCATCATCATCACCAGCAGCAGCAGCAGCACCATCATCATCACCGTTATCACGATCGCTCTCATCACCATCATTATCACCAACATCATCACCCTGCCCCTCCATTTCTTCCTACCCTCGCCGTCGGCGCGAGCCCCAGAGATGGCCCGAAGAGCCACCCCTTTGCCCCCTGTTATCTCTCAACTCACCCTGGTTGCCCGCTATGTCACCATGTGTCTCTTCCTCCCTGTGCCCGTCAATTCTCAAGGAAATAAGGAGAGAAAGGATGAGTAGCAAGAGCCAGCGCACAATGGGACACATTAAACCGTGATAGCGAGGAAGTGCCGTATTCGGATTTTGGTGCTTGGGAATTGGTGTTTGGGGTTTGGTGTTTGGTGTTTGGGGTTTGGGGTTTGGGGTTTGGTGTTTGGGGTTTGAGGTTTGGTGCTTGGTGATTGGTGTTTGGTGTTTGGGGTCTGGGGTTTTGTGCTCGGTGTTTGGTGTTTGGTGTTTGGGGTTTGGGGGTTGGTGTTTGGTGTGATTGGTGTTTGGTGCTTGATGTCTGGTGTTTGGTGATTGGTGTTTGGTGTTTGTTGCTTGGTGTTTGGGGTTTGGCTGTTTGGCGTTTGGTGTTTAGTGCTTGGGGTTTGGGGTTTGGGGTTGGGGGTTTGGTGTTTGGTGTTTGGTGTTTGGTGTTTGTGGTTTGGTGTTTGGTGTGTGGTGTTTGGGGTGTGGGGTTTGGTGATTGGTGTTTGGGATCTGGGGTTTGGTGTTTGGTGTTTGGGGTTTGGGGTTTGGGGTTTGGGGTTTGGGGTTTTGGGTTTGGGGTTTGGGGTTTGGGGTTTGGGGCTTGGGGTTTGGGGTTTGGTGTTTGGTGTGTGTTGTTTGGGGTGTGGGGTTTGGTGTTTGGTGTTTGGGGTCTGGGGTTTTGCATTCGGTGTTTGGTGTTTGGTGTTTGGTGTTTGGTGTTTGGGGTGTTTTTTGGGGGGGCGGTGGAAAACCTGCAAGGGTCTCACCCGGAGAAGCAACCGACCCGGCATTTTTCTAGTTTCACCCGGAGAAGTAATCCTTATTTCCGGAGAAGACACCCTTTCCCTGGGCAGCGATTTTTCCCCGGCCTCTGGTGGTGTGGTCTCCCCTCTCGCTCGAGACATCCCCTATCCCCAGCTCGAAGAGGCCTCGTGGACCTCCTCTCTGGAAGTGGTTCTGGTGGTGGTGGTGGTGGTGGTGGTGGTGGTGGTGGTGGTGGTGCTTATCTTTTTTACCGATCGCAGGTCCGGGTCGGTCGCCCCGCTTCTCGGCGCGAGCGCGCGCCGAGAGCGCCCGGGAGGGGGCGGGGCCTCCGCACGGCAGCAGCCCGTGCACGTGTGGCACTGGCCTTTGTGCGGTAGGCTCGCGCGGCGTCGGCGCGCGCGAAGGTTTTTGACACCGCGTCGATCGTTCAACCTGGAGTCGATCCCGGCCCCGATCGTTCCAGGTTGCACTCCGTCGGGTCCAGATGGCGTTGCCACGTCCACTCGGTGTTCCCGCGTCGCAGAAGTAAACCTTGAATTGAACGCCTGTGCCGGCGTCGCTGGCGCGCCAACGCCGCATGAGCCGACCGTAACGTTTCAAAGCGCGCCCGCTGGCTCGACCAATGGGGAGGGGGGGAGGAAGCGAGGGAGACGAGGAGGACGAGGGGAGGGCCGAGGAGAACGAGGGTGAGGGGGGAGGGGGACGAGGGGAATAACTAGGAGGAGGTAGAGGAGGACTAGCAGGAGCAGAAACCAGAAGGAGGACGACAACGGCGAGGGAGACCAGGGACGGACAGGTACGACACCCAGAGAAAGAGGAAGAGGAGCGGCACAGGAAGGATGATAGTGGCAACCGGAAGGAGGAGAAGGAGGAGGAGGAGGAGGAGACGACCGTAGAGAGCAAATCCTGTCAAGCACTTCGTATATAATCTATGAGAAGTCACCCACTCTCAAGGAGGGGGGTGAGAGAAGGGAGGCAGATGCCGCCGCGCAGGACACCGTAGGCGACGTGCAGCACAAGGTCTGAAAGCCCAGGGAGATCATGCACGCCAGCGGCAAGGAGAAGCGCGGGAGACCCACCGGCGCGCAGAGATTACTGCTCGCAGACCCCATCATCCGATGAGCCGTCAGCAGCCACCCAAGAGGGCACAGAAGAAGGAGCACCCATTTCACGGCGAACAGACAACCGAATCAAGTCAGAATCCAGAAGATGCTGCATGGCAGTGGACACAACAGAAAGGATGGAGTTGGACAGCTGCTCGTGCGACTCCCCAAAGAGGCCGGTCAGCGACTTGATGGCCGCGTCGTGCTCCGCGACATCATTCGCCACTTGACAAAGATGGCCCTGCACACGCTCAAAGTCGTACAACAGCTGAGTGAGACGCAACACGTTCTTCTTCGTCTGGTCGATGTCACGCACACTACGAGACCGAACCTGTTCCACAACCTCGGACGTGAGCGCGCCAATCTCCGCAGCAGCTTTCAAAAAGGATTGGATCTTTCACCGTGGACATATACTCCTCTGTATCGGCTTGGTTGCAATCGCAATCGATCAGGCGCTCGCAGTCCTCCCACAACTGCATTCGAACGGCGGGTTTAGAAACAAGCTGAATATGATAATCAATGTACGTCTTGGCGTTGGCGATTTGCTGCGTGACCGTTTCTTGCGTCTGTGCACACATACAGCAGAAAAGTCCTCGCATGGCATTTAACTCTGCATTGACCAGGACAATCGATGGGACCTCAGCTATGACCTCAACCCGATACGAATGCACGAGCAGGTCGAGCTCACAAGCGCGCTCACTCACAGAACTGTGTTGGTCAGCGACCAGCTTCCCCAGCGCGGCCACGCTATCCGTAAGAGTGGTGAAGTCAGACTCCGTGACAAAAGAACCAGACGGCACCAGAGCGCTCGGGGGGACCTCTTTGTCAAGAAACTGTTGGAAATAGCGTTTCGCTGTTGTGTTCGACCGCGCGTAGGAGCCAATCATGTTTGTGGGCTGTTTTACAAAATTCCAGCAGGCAAGAATGAATGCAAGCGTACAGCATATCGTGGCAGACGTTGGGCACATACTGAAGCAGATTGAAAGAAGCTGGCACCATCCAACAGCCACGACACATCAGACATAAGATGTTCACTTCCAATGAACATGATAAGGGGCACCAGCCCCGCCCTCTCAAGGCTGCCGCTCCCAGACCTCGTATGCCCAGGGGGCTCCGAGCGGTAAGCGGCGCTGGCGCTCTCACAAGAGAGGACGTCCGCAGGAGGAGAGAACACTGGAGCGTCAGCACGAAGAACAGAAGACGACGGAGCCCGAGACCGCCACCTGGGAGCAGAAGCTGTTCCGCACGCTGATGTCGACGTCGCGCTGCAACAAGCTGTTCCCGAGGCAGGCGATGGCGCACGAGCGCATTCGCCCGCGAGGGCTGATGGACATCCTCTGCGAGCAGACAACAATGTGCTTGGTGGTGCCGATGAGAATGCAACTGGGCTTCAAGAAAGGCCCGTACAATATCACGAATGAGCTCGGCAACCTCCGGGTACGCGTCCAGCGTCTTCCACAAAATGCGAACTTGCGCAGCCAGCGCGTTGACCTTCTTCGTCGTTACAAGAGAAACCGAGGCATTACTGGACCATGTAGCCGTCCAGTGGGAGCGAGAAGCAACAGAGCTCGCCCACACAGCACAAAGACAGCGCTCAAGCCAGCATGAGCTAAGCAAGCACGAACCAAGATGTTGGGGCAAACAGCGGGAGCGGCTTGAGCCAAAATGGCTACGGGGGAGGAGGAGGAGGAGGAGGAGGAGGAGGAGGAGGACAACGAGGAGGGACTCAATCACAAATAGGGGAAGGCAAAGGCTAAGGACAGGCCGTCCCGACCCTGTCCACTACTTTGGGACGGCACCTCCAAGTCCGCCAGGACGAAAACACTGCGAGGAGGAGAACGAGGAGGAGAACAAGGAGGGCGCAGTGGAGAAGGAAAACGAAGGCGAGGAGGAGGAGGAGGAGGAGGAGGAGGCGGAGGGCGACGACGAGGAGAAAAAAAACAGGACGACGATGATGACGACACCAGCAGTGGGCGGGGGCAGTTCGCCAGCAGCTCCCCCGCAAGTGCATGCGCTTGTGGCACGGTGTCACCAGGGCGCCCGCACGCTGGGGAAGACCTTCTCCCTCCTCCACCACCACCTCCACCTCCTCCTCGAACTTCCAGCCTCGAATGCTCCCTTCCGAGCGAGGCGAGGCCCCGGGGGCCCCGCCGCAGCGCTCGGAACTCAACGCCGCGGGCGCTGCCCCGAGGCCGGGGCCGGTTCGCTGGCGCGCGGCTTCCTGCGTCCGCAAGGGCTGCACGAGGCCTGCGGCTGCGACGACGACGACGACGACGACGACGACAACAACGACGACGACGACGACGACGACGACGACGACGACGACCGACCAACCGACCGACCGACCGACCGACCGACTACGACGACGACGACGACGACGACGACGACGACGACAACGACGGAGCGACCGACGGACCGACCAACCAACCAACCGACCGACCGACCGACCGACCGACGACACGGTTTCACACGACGAGGAAGAGAGAGCACGAGGACGAGGACGGCAACAGCGGCGAGGAGCGGGACCAGACGGATGAGGGAGGGCATTGGCAAGGAGGGCTAGTAACGGGACCAGAAAGGAGGATGAACGTTTTGGAACGGGTGAAGCGCCGCCACCTGGACTAGGATCTGACGCACCTAAGCCAGATGGCCATGCACCACCCAAACGAGAGGCAGTCCCCTGGACGGCGGGAACTGCTCTCCTCTCCCAGCCGTCCGCAGAAGCAGCTGCAGGCGGTGCCCCGTCTGGCACAATCACGGCAAAACGCTCTGCCGAATAAGCACCGCAAAGCACCACCATGCGCATGAGCACCGCCGAATAACTGCCCGAAGATGGGCGGCAGTACATATGTATATATATATATAAATAGACACATATATATACTAGAACCACGCGCGCGCTTCGCGCGCGCTTAGGTTCTAGCTAGGATCGTCACCCAGGATACGAGTACTGGAACCCTCTTGGGGGGCCTCGTCCGGCCGCTCGCTGGGAGTTTGACGTAGCTTCTCGGGAGCCTCTGAACCTGTCAGGGGCCTCCTGGAAGCAGGTTCGAAGCATTTTGGGGGCCGATTTGAGGCTTCTCGGGGCCTCCTTTGGGCCTCCTCGGGGTCTCCTGGGGCCTCTTGAGGGGCCTCCTGGGGGCCTCCTGGCGGCCTCTTGGGGCGGAAGGCTCGAGCTTGCGGTTCGTGGTCCCCCTCTGGGCCCCCTCTTGGGCCCGTTTCGGGGCCCTCTTGGGCCATTTTGGGCGCCTCTTGGGCCGTCTTGGGGCCCTCTTGGGCTGTCCTGGGGCCCTCTTGGAAGCTTCTTGGGCCGTCTTGGGGCGGTCTTGGGCGCCTCTTGGGCCGTCCTGTAACGTCGGAAAGCCCAAAAGACAATTTTGTTGAAAATGTACGTTTTACGAAGGGAATGGGCCAATTTTTGCGTCTAGGGGCCCTCTTGGGACGCATGTTGGAGGCTTCTTGGGGCCTCTTGGGGGCGTCCTTGGACGTCTGGAGGCCATCTTCAGCATCTCGGAGCCCTCTTGGAGGCCTCTTGGAAGTTTCTTGGGCCGTCTTGGGCGCTCCTGGGGCCGTCTTGTCTGACCGGGGAGGCCTCCGGCAAGCCCCGACGAGCCTCCGGGCCCCCCGGGGTGCACATTTGCGGTCGGGGTCCCGGCCCCGGGCCCCCGGACCCGGTGCGCCGTTATATGTATACACGTGTGTGTGTGTTATTGACTTGTGTGTTTGTTTTTTTGGCTTCGGCCCATCGGCTGCAAAATGCACGTCCGGCGCGCATCTGGCGACCGTGGGCCCCCCCTGGGCGAACTCTGCCCTACGCTGCACGCACTATGTCCCGCACGGCAGGCGCACGGAAGCAGTGGTCATCGACTGCGTTGGGACACAGCTGCATGCTGGATTGGCTGTGCACGGACACGAAGGACCCCATTTGGAGGTGGAGGTTCCTCGCGCCAGGGAAGCAGCCCCTTCCGAATCCGAGCAATGTTTTCGGTACCCTTCCTCGTCTTCCCAAAACACTTCGCAACCAGGTGGCGCTGGCAGCCCGTGTCGACCCTCCCGCGCACGCGGCACGGCGCGCTGCAGAACTGCAGAAAAACAGCGACTCTGCACAAGTCTGTGGCACCTCTGGCAGTCCCAGTTGCTACCACAATGCGCCATCAGGCAGACGCCCTCCGCCACTGCCAAACGAGCCGCCGTGCAGACTGGCCGCCTTGGCCCAGAAGGGCGCACGCCTTTCTCAGCGTCGGCCCCCGACGCCCGCTCGAGCGCCTTGCGCGCGCGAAGCCGGACCAGGGTGGCGTTGAAATCAAACTCGTCCGTGCGAGGCTCAGGCCCAGCCGTGCTGGCCTGCCAGCCTGCCTCGGCTGCCTGCCCAGCCCACGCATCTTCTGCAGAATTGCCAAGCGCCAGAAAAAGGGCGCGCGAGGAGGAGAGAAGGTGGGCATGCTCGTCAGCGTGCGACGCCACCCACTCGATCTGCATCTCCCCCGCTCCCCGAGCTGCCAACCCCCTCCTGTAACCGCTGCCACAGATCCTCGTCAGCGAGGCGTCGGTCGCAGGGGGTCGACAGGCGAGCCCTCCAGCGCGCTGCAACGGCTTGTGATCAGTCACGTGCATCGCGACGGAAGAGGATTCAAGCGCAGGCACGAACGCTAAAATCTCAGCCCGCGGCACTGGCTGCCGCGAGCCGACGAATGGCACAGAGCGTCCAGCAACGGCCTGCGACTTATCGTCGGGTCCCAGGGCGAGAACCGCGATCGCAGCGCCGCACCTCCCCCTTCTCGGGTCGACGGGGAAGCGCCCGACGAAGACTGTGACCACGCCCGCGGAGTCGCGACAGTGGTCGAGCGGCCCACCGATGACCACCGCCGCCTGCGCCACCCTCCCCTCAATCTTCTACCACTTCTTCTGGCCCGACTTGCGCCCGCACTGGGAGCAGTCTCCACTAGTGTGACACATTGCTACGTGGGATTTTACCGCGCGAGCGCCACAGGCCAGCACCTTGAGTTCGCCCAACGTGAGAACAAAAAAAAGGCAGGAGCAGGGCGGAGGAGCACGAGGGGGGCCGGAGACGAGGAGCAGGAGTCGGGGAGACGTAAGACTCGGGTTCGGGGGACTCGGGTTGGCCTGACGGGGGCCATCATAAAAATGACGAGCCCAACTCTGAAATTCGACGCGAACTCCCGCTGCAAACGTCCCACGGAAACCGGACCGTCAAAATCCAGGACGCACCCGTCCACAGAAACGTCGGCAAACCCGAGTCCTGGAATAAACTCGAGTCCTGCGCTTCCCCGGAGGAGAAGAGCAGGCTCGCCTTCCTGCCAGGCGGCCTGGCAGGCGCGCCGGCCGCGCCCGCGGGGGCGCTGCGTGCGACGTCGGCCTCCTGCGCGTGGGGGCACGGCGAAGACCGACGCCGCCGCTCCGTGGACCCCTCCAGTGGTGTCGGTCGTCTGAGGCTCTCGCGCTCCCGGGGTGCTTCCCGGCGGCCGCGCCTCGCGGGGAGCGCTCCGAAGGGCCGCCGGAGGCCCGAGCTGAAGCGCCAAGGCCAGGACCCCCTCTCGCTGCGGGAAACAGAAACGAGCCTGAGGCGCATGATCGATTTTCGAACAGGGGGCGATTACAAAATCGATGTACCCCAAAATTGATGTCCCGTCGAATCTACGAGAAGTACCTACCATGCTCCGTAGATCTACCGACTATTCTACGTATTTTCTCATGGGCTCGACAAGAAAATCAATTTTGGGATAAATGAATTCTGTAGTCGATCCCCTACTCGAGTTTTCGGACTCTGGTGTGGGGGGGGGGGGCTCGTAGCGAAGAGCCTATCTGGGGGAAGAGATTTCCAGAGCTCTCAAGGGACCCACGACGTAGGAAAGAATGAGGAAAAACGGCATCGGGGGCGTGGAATTTCCAAGCGACTCCTGCCATGCCGAGGGAAGGTCGGGTCGGACGTAATGGAAGGATACAGTAGGAGCTCGACCACAAGAAACCTTCCACACGAAACCCAGGACATCCATTGATTTTTGGTGTGGGGGCGTCACACTTTCCATCGTAGAGCCATCGAAACCCAAGAAACCCAGGGCACCCTGGAGGCAAGCAGGGTGCTTTTTGTTGGCATGGGTTTCTTCTGTAGCAGGGGGGATCAGCCAGCCAGCTCATATATGCAGGAGGGGCTCACCAACTGGATCAATCGGCGATACATCGCCGACAACGCTGCCCCATGGTTTTCGAGTCGTCCAGAACCTACGAAAACGCCCGAAAACCTGATCCGTACACCCCTCGTCCTCACCCCACCCCTCGACGCCCCCGGATGCCTGACCTGGGGGTCCTGGTTCTTTGGACGCCCAGAATGTGGACGCGCGGAATGTGTACGAAAAAATGGGTACGATGCCAAACAACAAATATCGCCCAAAACTGACAGCTGCCGTTGTTGGCCAGGCGGCCGTAGGACCGATGAAGTTCTTGGCCATGTAGCGCACGGCTGGACGCCAAGCTTCAAAAGAGTAAGCTTGAACCTTCGGCTTTAGCTTAAGCTTCGGAATGCCGCTGCTTTGCTGCTAAAGCATGAGCGTATGATTATGATTCCGCGTCCGAGCCGACTGTTGTTTGAGGAGGTCCAGGGATGTGCGAAGCGCGCAGCGCCAACCAGCAAAACGACAGCAAAACAGTTTGTTGTGCATTGTAGTGCGTGCTTGGATTGCAATTTCTGATCACAATGCAAGTTTGATCTGCTTTGCAGTGCCGCTGCTTCGCTGCTAGAGCTTGAACTTGTGAGTATGATTCCCCGTGCGAGCCGAATGTGGTTTGAGGGGGCCCAGGGAGGTGCGAAGCGCGCAGCGCCAACCACGACGACGGCAAAACAGTTTGGTTTGCATTGCAGTGGCTGCTTGCAGTGCAATTATGTTTGCAATGCAGTGGCGGCATGTCTCGGAGTGCCGCTTGTTCGCTGCTAGAGCTTGAGCTTATGAGTATGGTTCCGCGTGCCAGCCGAATGTGGTTTGAGGAGGCCCGCGGAGGTGCGAAGCGCGCAGCGTCAACCACGAAGACCACAGCAAACCAGTTTTGTTTGCATTGCAATTCGTTTGCATTGCCAGTCGTGTTGCAATGCAGTGATGGTCAGTGATGGTCTGCTCCGGAGTGCCGCTGCTTCGCTGCTGGAGCTTGAATTTAATGATTCCCCGTGCGAGCCGAATGTGGATCCAGGTGGCGCAGGGAAGTGCGAAGCGCGCAGCTCCAACCACGATGACCACAGCAGAACACTGTTGTTGCACTGCAGTTGTTGTTTCCCACTGCAGTGTTTGTTTGCAATGCTGGTGCCCGGCTGGTGGAGATCTTCTTAGTCTCGTCTGAACGTGGCTGGTCTGGATGGCTGTCTGCTCTGGTTTGACTTGCTGGTCGTGCTGGTCTGCTGGGTTCAAGCCTGTTGCATCTCAGTGTTTCCCATCGTAGTGTGTTTTGCATTTCAATGTTGATCTTGTGGATTCCGATGATCTGCTCAGGTTGGTTTGAACGTCGCTGGTCTGGATGACTGGCTTGTCTGGTTGCTCTGGTTGTTCTACCGCGCGTGTGGTATGGCTGGTCTGGTTGGTTGGTCTGGCGTTTCGCATCGCCTGTTTTTGCAATGCAGTTTGAGTTTGGATGATGCTGGTTGTTTGGTTGGTTCTTCTGAGCCTCGTCTGGGCTTGGCTAGTCTCGATGGCTGGCTCGTCTGGCTGGTCTGCTTGAGCCAGTTCAGCTGACTTGCCTGGCTGGCTGTTCTGGTTAGTCTAGTTGGTCTACGCTGCTAGTTTGACTTGCTATTCTGGATGATCTGCCCAGTCCAGGCTTTCTATCGCAATGAATGTTTTGCAAACCAGTGTTTTGTTGCGATGCAGTCGTAGGGTGTTTGGTGTGGTTGGCTGGTCTAGATCGCCAGCTGGTCCAGTTGGTCTGGTTGGTCTGCTCTCCCGCGCAACACAGCGCAAAGCGCACAGCGCGCAGTTGCATCATGTCTTGACTGTCTCTCCATCATTTCCCCTTGGCTGGTTTGACTTGCTCGGCCAGCTGGTCTGCCTGGTCGGATTGTTCTGCACTGCAGTGTTTGATGCATTGCAGCGTTTTGCAATGCAATGTTGGTCTTGCTGGCGTAGCTCATGTTGCTTGATCTGCATAGACTGGTCTGATGGACGGCTCTGGATGGTTCGCTGGTCTGGTTGGTCTGCTTGGTCTGGTCTGGCTGATCCGTCTGGTTAGCTGGTCCGGGTGATCTAGTTGATCTGCTTGGCTGGTTTGAAATGCTGGTCTGAGTGGTCTGCCTGGTCCACGTGCTTTACATCGCAATGTTTGTTTCATTGAGGTGTTTTGCAATGTACCTTCGGTCTGGTTGGTGTAGTTGGTCTGGTTGATGTCCTTACTCTAGTGTGGGCTTAACCGGTCTACATGGCTGGCTGATTTGCGTGGTCTGGTTGGTTGGTCTGGTCGGTTTGCTTTGTTGGTCTAGTTCGTCTGGCTGATCTGCTTGGCATGGTTGGTTTGAGCTGGCTGTTCTCATATCTGGTTGGTCTGATTGGTTGTTCTGCTTGGTTTGGCGTGGTTGCTCCACTGGGTATGGTTGGTCTGTTTGGTCTGGTTGGTCCAGTCTCATCGGTGTGGTCGCGCAGGTTCTTCCTCTGGTCTGTCTGGTTCGGTTGTTTGGGTGTTCGGTTCGCTTGGCTGGCCTTGGTCTGGTCTAGTCGGATCGATCGAGTAGTGAATCTGGTTCGCTTGGTCTGGTCTGCTTGGTCTGCTCTTGTTGGTTGGTTGCTCTTGATAGGTTGGTCGATTATATAGCTACTGTACCTGGCCTGGCTAGCCTGGTGATTTGGAGGGTCCCACCAGTCTGGCTGGCTTTGCCTGGTCTGCCTGCTGCGCAGGACTTCCATGAGACAAGTAGCAGCAGCAGGAGCAACAGCAACGGCGAAAGCATGACCAGCATCAATACACAGAGGAGGAGAGAATCGAAGAGGATCAGGGGAAAGAGGGGGAGGGGACAGTCTGCGTCAGCAGCCATACCCCTGTGGATGCCCCACAGCACGTGTCCGACGCTGGGCCCCAAGAAATTTCAATCTTGGCGGCTTCCACCAGCGAGCCTTCTTCAGAATGACAAGCTATCAGATGCTGCCTGTCGCGCCCATTCTTCCCGTGTTCATGCCGATCGCATCGAGATTCCTGCCCCCCACTAATGGGCCTGTATTCCACTATCACCACCATAAGTTGGAGGGGGAGCGGGTCCTCCTCCTCCTCCTCCTCCTCCTCCTCCTCCTCCTCCTCCTCCTCCTCCTCCTACTCCTCCTCCTCCTCCTCCTCCTCCCCTCCTCCCCCTCCTCCTCCTGCTCCTCCTCTCCTCTCCTTCCTCCTCCTCCTCGTCGTCGTCGTCGTCATCGTCATCATCATCATCATCATCATCATCATCATCATCATCATCATCATCAGCATCATCATCATCATCATCATCATCATCATCATCATCATCATCATCACTCATCATCATCATCATCATCATCATCATCATCAGCATCATCATCATCATCATCATCATCATCATCATCATCATCATCATCATCATCATCATCATCATCATCATCGTCATAATCATCATCATCATCATCATCATCATCATCATCATCATCATCATCATCATCATCTTCATCATCATCATCATCATCAGCAGCAGCAGCATCATCATAATCATCATCATCACCACCACCACCACCATCATCATCATCATCATCACCACCACCACCACCACCATCATCATCATCATCATCATCATCGTCATCGTCGTCATCGTCATCATCGTCATCATCGTCATCATCGACATCAACATCATCATCAGCATCATCATCATAATCATCATCATCACCACCACCACCATCATCATCATCAACATCATCATCATCATCACCACCACCACCACCATCATCATCATCATCGTCATCGTCGTCATCGTTCTCATCGTCAGCATCGTCATCATCGTCATCATCATAATCATCATCATCATCATCATCATCATCATCATCATCATCATCATCATCATCATCATCATCATCATCCTTCTCTTCGTCCTCTTCCTCCTCGTCCTCCACCTCCTCCCCCCTCCAACTTATGGTAATGGTGGTGGAAAAAAGGCCCATCACCCAGGGCTCCTCCTGGCCCCCACGCCGCCCGTCCGCCTCCACGGCCAGCAAGTACGCCGCCCTGTGGTCGTCGTAGCGGGGCCGTGGGGGCGCGCCGCCGGCTTCCGCCCCGCCGCGCGCGGCGGCCTCCGCCTCCGCCTCTCCCTGGGCCTCCCCGCGCCTGGCCTCGGCCTCCCCCCGGGGCTCTCTCCTGAGCCCGCTCGGTGTCTGAGCCGACTCGGCCGCCAAATGGGCTCACGATCAAGCCCACTCGGCGGCCGAGCGGGCTCGATTCCCTCGACCGTGTCGGAGCTGAGCCCATTCGGCTGCCCACTCGGCGGCCGAAGCGGCTCAGACGCCAAACGGGCTCAGGAGGGAACCAAGGGGTCCTCGGCCTCCTCGGTCTCCGCGCGCAGCGCCTCGGCCTCGCGCGCCATGCGCTCCGCCTCCCGGCGCGCAAGGCGCACCGCCTCCTCGCGAGCGCGGCGCTCCGCCGCCGCGCGGGCGCAGCGGGCCGCCTCGCTCTCGGCGGCGCGCCGGGCGCCCTCCTCGGGGGGGCAGCAGGATACCGATGCTGCTACTCCGCTGAGTGAGTTGTCCTGGGATGCGCTCTGACCAGGACTTCGAGGCGGATCCAGCCGTAGCGACGAGGGTAGGGTAGCAGTACCTCTAATCCTCTGATCCTCGGCGCTGAGCAGCGCCTGCTGCTCCTCCTGCTCGGCGCGGCAGGCGCCCTGCGCGGCGGCACTCGTCCTGCGCGGCCCGGGCGCGGGCCCGGCGGCCCTGCGGCGCAGCGGGCCAGCGAGGAGCAGCACGAGCCCGAGGCCCAGGGCGAGGCCGGAGGCCCAAAGCCAGACTGGCACGGCGACCGACGGCGCGCCCCGGAGGCCCACCGAGGAGGCGCCGCCCGCCCGCTGCTCGCGGCGGTCTGCGACGATGGCCACGGCCCCGCGGGAGCCGCCCGAGGCCACCGCCACCGCCGCCTGCTGGGCCAACTGCGCTGCCGCCCCCGCGCCCGCACCCTCCTGCGGGGCGCCCGTGCTGGTGTCCCCCCCGCCGTCGCCGCCGCCGGTGGTGGTGTCCTCACCCGAGCTGGCGCCTTCGTCGCCGCCGGCGGTGGTGTCCTCACCGGCGCCAGCGGCCTCCCCGCCGCCGCCAGTGGTGTCCTCGGCGGCGCCGCCGCCCGCCCGCCCCAGACCACCGACGTACATTGCCCACGGGTTTTCCAGGAGTGGGTCCCCAGAGCTCGCGGCACAGCGCCCGAGACCTTCTGCTTCGTCATGGGCCCTTTTTCGCCACGACTCCAGGGCCCTGAGATGGCCGCTGCAGACCGAGACGGGGGGCAGGGGGGGATGACGCTCAGATTTTCCCGCGATGCCTGGAGGTCTGGGTCTCCGCCGCCAGTGGTCGTGTCCCCCTCGTAGCCAACGGCGAAGACCTCCTCGGCGCTGGTACTGGCGTCGTGTCTCTCGGGCACTTCGGTGGTGGAGAGGGCGGTGGTCGTCTCCTTTCCCTCCTCATCCTCGTCCTACTCCTCCTCCTCCTCCTCCTCCTCCTCCTCCTCCTCCTCGTCATCAGCATGTGCATCATCATCATCATCATCATCATCATCATCATCATCATCATCATCATCATCATCATCATCATCATCATCATCATCATCATCATCATCAGCATCAGCATCAGCATCAGCATCAGCATCATCATCAGCATCAGCATCAGCATCAGCATCAGCATCAGCATCATCACCATGATCAGTATCATCATCATCATCATCATCATCATCATCAGCATCATCATCATCATCATCATCAGAATCAGAATCATAATCATAATCATAATCATAATCATAATCATAATCATCAGCATCATCAGCATCAACATCATAATCAGCATCACCATAATCACCATAATCAGCAGCAACAGCAACGTCATGATCATCATCATCATCATCATCAGCATCATCAGCAGCATCAGCAGCAGCATCATCATGATCATCATCGTTAGCAGCATCATCATGATAATACTCCTCCTCATCATCATCAGAATCGTAATCATCAGCATCATCAGCATCATCAGCATCATCATAATCACCATAATCAGCAGCAACAGCAACATCATGGTCATCATCATCATCAGCAGCATCAGCAGCATCATCAGCAGCATCAGCAGCATCATCATCATCATCATCATCATCATCAGCATCATCATGATCAGCAGCGTCATCATCATGGCCGATGATGAGGAGGATGATGATGAGGATGATCATGAGGATGATCATGATCATGATGATGATGATCATCGTCATCATCATCATCATCATCAGCATCATCATCATAATCATCATCGGACGCAGCAGCAGCAGCAGCGTCAGCATCATCAGGCGCAGCAGCAACATCATCAACTAGAGAAAACAGGATCGTGACCAGCAGCATCATCAGCATCATCAGCATCATCACCATCACAGCACATCACCATTATCACCATCAGCATCATCATCAGCTTCAGCATCGTCATCATCATGATCGTCATCATCAACATCATCATCATCATCATCATCACCGTCATCATCGCCATCATCATCATCATCATCATCATCACCATCATCATCATAATCATTCTCATCATCATCAGCATCATCATCATCATCATCATCGACATCGTCATCGTCATCAGCATCATTACCCTCACCATCACCATCACCAACATCATCAGCAGCATAATCCTCATCAGCATGATCATCATCAGCATCATCAGCATCATCAGCCACAGCATCACCATCATCATCATCTCCATCATAAACATCATCAGTATCATCAGCATCGGCATTGCAATCATCATCAGCAGCAGCATTGGCAACAGCAGCATCATCAGCAGCCGCATCATCATCGCCATCGCCATCATCATGCCCACAGCCATCATCATCAGCATCATCATCATCGTCATCAGCGAGATCATCAACATGATCGCAAACATTAGTATAACCATCATCATCCGTGCCATCAGTTTCGTCGTCACGACCATCATTACCAGCGCCATCGCTGAAAACTATCATGATCGCCTTTATCATCACCATCACCACAATTGCCATCGCTAGTACCATTATCAGCATCAGCATCAGAATCAGCCTTACCATCATCAATGTCATAATGAGCAGACGCCTCACCATCGTGAGCATCAGCATCATCACACTCATTATCATCATCATCATCATCATCATCATCATCATCATCATCATCATCATCATCATCATCATCATCATCGTCGTCATCATCATCATCATCACCAGCATCACCACCTTCAGGAGCAGCACATCGCCGTTGCCGTCGTCGTCCGCAATATCATCAGCAGCAGCATCAACGTCACCTTCTCGGTTACCATAGCCATGACCAGCATCGTAAGCATCAGTCTCATCATCATCGTCCTCATCAGCATCGTCGTCCTCCTCCTCCTCCTCATCATCATCATCTTCTTCATCATCATCACCCTCATCATCATCATCATCATCATCATCATCATCATCATCATCATCATCATCATCATCATCATCATCATGATCAGCATCATGATCAGCAGCAGCATCAGCATAGGCATCATCATCAGCATAATCAGCATCATAAGCATCAGCAGCTGCAGCATCAGCGTCAGCATCACCAAGAGCAGCATCATCAGCTTCATCGTCGTCATCATCATGAACATCAACAACATCATCCTCGTCATCCTCGTCCGCATCCACAATATCCTGCTCCTCCTCCTCCGCCTCCACCTCTTCCTCATCATCATCCTCACCGTCATCATCATCATCAGCAGCATCATCGTCACCATCCTCATCAGCAGCAGCATCTCCATCAGTATCAGCATCAGCCGCATCAGCATCATCAGCAGCATCAGCATCATCAGCATCATCATAATCAGCATCAGCATCATCAGTAGCATCATCATCATGACGATCATCAGCATCATCAACATCACCATCGCCATCATCATATTAGCATCAGCATCATCAACTGCATCAGCATCAACATCATCATGAGCAACATCAGCATCATAAACAGCATCTGCATCAGCATCAGCATCGTCATCATCATCATCATCATCATCATCATCAGCAGCAGCAGCAGCAGCAGCATCAGCATCAACATCATCAGTAGTTAGGCGGCCGGGCCGTCCCTCCTGCTCATCACCCTCATCCTCCGCCCCATCGACAATCCTCCTCCTAGATGGATTGGGGGGTGCAGTGGTAGTCCCCCGCGCCTCGGCCAGAAACTCGGGCTCCGCGCTTGGGCAGCCAGGGCCCCTCCTGGGGACCACGACGACGACGATGACGATGCGAGGGGGGGGGGGGAGAGCGCGAGGCCGAGGGAAAGAAGAGAGGCCAGAAGGTCAGAAGGAAGGAGGAAGAAAGGGAGGTTGGAGCGGTCGTGGGAGAGGGCGAGGGGCGAGGGGCGAGGGGAGGAAGAGAGAGGCAGAAACATCAGAAGGAGGGAGGGGGAGGGGGAGGAGGTTGGGGCGTCCAAGGGGGACCAAGTCTCCTGGCCGCCAGAGGAGGAAAGGAAAGGATGGGAGCGAAGAGGAGGGAAGCGGCTATGGGGGGGGAAGAAGAGGAGGACCATAGGAAAGGAGGGGTGGCGAGGGGCGGGGAGGGGAGGGGAGGCAAGCTAGGTGCGCTCGCGTCATATCTGACGTCCTACCCCTCCCATCCCTTACCATGGCGCTGATTTTCTCTATCCGCGGACGCGTGTCGTAGCGGACCTGTGGCTCCGCGCGCGCGTGCGTAGTGGGTGGTGGTGCGCGTGCGTGCGTGCGTGCGTGTGTGCGTGGTTGTGGTGGTGGTGGTGGTGGTGGTGGTGGTGGTGGTGGTGGTGGTGGTGGTGGTGGTGGTGGTGGTGGTGGTGGTGGTGGTGGTGGTGGTGGTGGTGGTGGTGGTGCTGGTGGTGCTGGCTGGGTGGTGGTGGTGGTGCTGCTGCTGGTGGTGGTGGGTGGTGGTGGTGGTGGTGCGGCGCGGTAGTGGCGGGCGGATGGGCGCGCGAGAAAGAGGCCCGCGCTGGGGCGAGAACGCCATCCTGAACGACGGAGGCCAAACACCGATCCGAAAATGAGGCCCACGCTGCAGCGGGAGCACGGTTCGGAACGATTCGGGAGCAGAAATGAGGCCGGCGCCTCAGCGAGAGCAGCATTTTGAAAAAACACGCAAGCGAAAACCCGTTTCCCGGGAATCCTGTGTGTAAAAAAACAGTACGCGGGGGGGTGTCGGATATCTTCGGGACGCCATCAGGGGAAGTGGGAGAGTATTTTCATATTGTGTAATTGTGGAGGGCAGGGGAGCAGGAGGGAGGAGGAACGCCACCACCCCGAGCACAGCTCGTCGCCCTGATTTACAGCCCTGTGACTAAGGGCCCCCCCGCCTAGCCATTGCCCTGGTTTTAGACATGATTAATAGCTACACCAGGCTCGCCAGGTGCTGAGCCACGAATCCAGCAAGGGGGAGGGGGAAGGCAGGAAGGCAGGGATGGGGAGCAAATGGGCTCAGACGGTAGATTCCCCCTGCGCCTCATCCGTCCACATTTGTTTCGTTGCCACCACGGCGAATAGTATGATTATTCGTAGTAGTTGTATTATTCTTCGTATTATTCTTAATAGTAAGTACATTGTGATTAGTCGAATTGTTATTATGATTAGAAGTATTCTTACCATTAGTATAGCTATCTTTGATAATATAAGATATACCGCTGTGCTGTGGGAGCGGCAGCGGATGACATGGAGAGAAGCGCACGCCATTTCGGAAGCAGCGCTGCCCACGCGCAGGTAGCTCGTGTGATGAACGGGAGACTGGCCAGGGTTAAGGCCTCAACGCGTGGCGCACATGACAGAATCATGTCAAACGCCCGGCAGCATTCAGAAGCCGCTGCTCCCCCTCCGCCTCGTAAACACCCCCCGAATCCCAGTCGATAAATGGGGCTTGATCGGGCGGCCCATCGAAGCTGGAACACGAATCACCGCGCTCTGCTGCCAACTATGACGGGGGCTGTATCGCTGACTCCAACTTGCCGTGCCGTAACTGGCGGGTCGTGACTGCTCCCGTCCCTCAGCTGGAGGCGGAACTGGGCGCATGTGCACATCGCGTCAAAGACAGATCCCACTGGCTGGGCTAATCGAAAGGCGTTGACAATCACACCCAAATCGTCACCACACGCTTGGAGATCAGCACGAGGACACACACCCAATCAAGACTTGAGGATAGGTGCTCGAGGAACATACGAAATGCTAGGGCCCGCAGGCTAACGCTGAGGGGGCGTCTTTGCGCCACCCCAGCCTCAATTAGGAAGAGTTCGAAGCGCAGCCCATCCTGGAGCATCCAAGTCACCTCATCTGGGACGCAGAACCACATAATAGTGCGATGTGACCCGTTGGGGGCAGAAGTGCGACCAGACCATTCAGCACAACGAGATGATAGCATGTTGCCATTCGAGGGGTATCGCCATGAATCGTCCATCACGGAACTTCTGCTGTACGATGTTTCAGCGCGCGTCGGCCCTGTGGGACCGACGCGCACACAGTAAAAGAACGTGTGGGTGTTGGTGCTGACTGTCATGCGACTTGGATGGCCCAGGATGGACTACGATTGGCACTTTTCATCCTGAGTCGTGTTCTTCCCGTCCCGGGGCCCTGGAAGAGTCACCATATGCAGAAAATGACCCCCCCCCAAAAAAAAACTCCCTTACGCCGAGAGGAAGTCTGGGGAGGAGTAAGGGAAGAAGGAGGAGGAGGATCCTGAGGAAGACCACCTGTTCCCCATCGATCCGCACGATCTCGAACTCGACCTCTGGAGGCCGCCCAACTGGGGTTCGAGCAGATGGGGTCGGACGATCGCGCCGCCTTGCCGACGTCGAGGTGGAGAAAAGAGGGCTCTCGATTGAGACACACTGCCGACGCATTAACGATACGGCTCGAGGATGGACAGAACCCTCCTGAGCACGACGCCCTGTTTGGGAAAAGCCCACAGTTGCGTGCGGCACCACAGTCCGAGTGCCGATGCTACAGTCGTAAGCTGTTGCATAGCGCGTCGGGGCAGCGGCCCAGGCGACACGAGATGTCCTGCAAGCGGATAATTAGCGTGCCGCTCCGCTCCGAGGGCCAAGAGACCAGGAAAAACTCGAGCCGTTGACGCTCGCGGACAGGGGTGTAGACGGCGTGGTAGGCCAGAACCGGCCGAGCCACACGTCGAGCAAAAGCTCCTGACCGTGAGCGACGTCCAAAACCTGCCCGATGTGCCCAGCAAAACGCACGTCGATTACCCCC